TTGTGACTGGTTCAATTGTTAATTTAGATTTAGATGTTTCTTTATCTATTGATGCCGATTCAGTGGTTTGTAGGCCGGATATTGATATATTGGGGCCTACATTGTCTGTTGAGTTAGGTGACATTGTCGTCTCCATGGTGACTGGCTCAATTGTTAGTTTAGATATGTGTGTGTGTTCTTCATCTATAAATGCCAAATCAGTGACTAGTAAGTTTGATTTAAATGTAGTGGTGTCTGCACTGTCTTCTGTTGTGTTAAATAATGTGGACGTCTTCGTTGTGACTGGCTCAATTGTTGGTTTAGATATGGGTGTGTCTTTTTCATTTAAAGATGCCAAATCAGTGACGAGTGAGTTTGATTTAGATGTAATGGTGTCTAAACGTTCTGTGGTTTTGTTAGATGATGTTGACGTCTCCATGGTGACTGGCGCAATTGTTAGTTTAGATATTGGTTTGTCTTCTTCATTCATAGATGTCACTTCAGTGCTTGGTGAGTTCAATATTGACATATTGGTGTCTACATTGTCTGTTTTTGAGTGAGGTAATATAGACGTCTCCATGATGACTGGATCAATTATTGCTTTGGATGTGGGCTTTTCTTCTTTATCTACCGATGCCACATCAGTGGTTAGTGAGTTCAATGTTAATGTAGTGGTGACTACACTTTCTTTTGTTGAGTTAGGTGACGTTGACGACTTCATGGTGACTGGCCTAATTGTTAATTTAGACATTGGTTTGTCTTCTTCATCTATAGATGTCACTTTAGTGGTTGGTGGGTTCCATATTGATGTAGTGGTGTCTACATTGTCTATTGTTGAGTCAGCAGACGATGACGCCCTCATGGTGACTGGCTCAGTTGTTCGTTTAGATATGAGTGTGTCTTCATTGTCTATATATGTTATTTCAGTGGTTGGTGAGTTTGATTTAGATGTAGTGGTGTCTAAACGTTCTGTTGTTGTGTTAGGTGATGTTGACGTCTTCGTGGTGACTGGCTCAATTGTTAGCCTAGATGTGGGTGTGTTTTCTTCATCTATTGATGTTTCTTCGGTGGTTAGTGAGTTCAGTATTAATGTAATCGTCTCTACACTTTCTGCTTTTGAGTTGGGTGATGCTGACGTCTCCATGCTGACTGGTTCAATTGTTAGTTTAGATATGGGTGTATTTTCTTCGTCTATAGATGTCACTTCAGTGGTTACTGAGTTTGATATAGGTGTAGTGGTGTCTACACTGTACGTTGTTGAGTAAGGTGATGTTGACGTATCCATAATTACTGGTTCATTTGTTAGTTTAGACATGGGTGTGTCGTCTCCATGTATTGCTGCTATTTCAGAGGTTGGTGAGTTCAATATTTGTGTTGATGTTGATGATACCTTAGTAGTTATTGAGTCAGATATTGGTAGAATGATGTCAGTACTAGCTTGTGTAGATGTGTATGGCACAATTGCAGTTGGAGGCATATATATTGATGGTTTCATAGTAGATGCTGCTGTCCCATCTGTTTCTAAATCTTCAAAAATTGGTAATTGTGAAGTTTGAGGTCTGCTGATATTTAAAGTACTGTTTGCTGTGGAAAATAATAGAAAAATGTTTGATATTAATCATTTATTATTGAAAGGTTGAGAACCATATAATGTTCTCGGGTGATATGTTTATGCTCTTGTTAATGACGTTATATTATCTGATAGTTATAGAATAGAATAGTTGTTAAACGGATTTTGATGTATTGATTTCACTTTTGAGTCAGGCATTCTCACCTCCAGAACCAAATATCGCAAAATATTTTGTAGTAAGCTTAATTGATGATGAATTAGCTTGAGATGTTGAAACGTATATTGAAATTTGCAGAACAGTTGATGATACACTGTTCATTGTCATTCGTTGTTGCAGTAGAAATCATTGAAGATGCGTGCTGAGAAGGCGAGACGCCATTAGTGTAAATTGTTGACGCCTCTCTTAATGATTCAGCCTCAGCAGTTGTGTAAGTATGTCAATGTCAATGCCAAGTTTGGGTCTTAGTTTCTTTCAATTATCCTGTCTCTATTTAATTTGTGGCTCGTTGTTTTTTGCCCAGTACTTGCTATTTGCTTGTTTGTAATTTCGTAGCCTTGAAAATCGGATTTTGTACTTTTCTTTTTCAATTGCAGTGTTTAAACTGTACGAATTGGTTTTCATATTGACTGTTGCCGAATAAATCTCACACTGATTCGTTTCTAGAATCAGAACATGCTTTATATAAATGTCACTGTTTATATTCAGTCCAAGTCCATGGTGTGTCCATGGGCTTAACACATATAATTAAGAAGTGGACCTTACCATTATTAATGATAGTCACTGTGGCGGTAGAATACACTACGGTAGACTCGGTGTTCTCAAAAATGCTTGCATTAATATCGAACGTCTCGTCGTTTTCATTTAATTCGTCATTTGTTATTTGTATGCTAATAACGTGAGTTGTCTGGCCTGCTGCAAAGGTCACATTGGTAGCAAGTGATTGGTAGTCGTTGCCACCTATTGCGGTAATATCGTTGGTGGTTAATTCAACAATCAATGCCAGCATTTGGTTCCCTGTACGTTCTATTATGATTGAGACTACTCCAGCGTTCTCGTTAACTGTGTATATTCTAGGATTGAATGATACCAGGGCCAGTCCTGAAGTAAAAGTAAAATTGTATATTATATGATAGGGTGGTTTTGTGAAGAGTAGTTGAAACAGTTGGATGGTGTAGTCACTTTTGTAGTGTGGCGGTGCGGTGCAGTGCATTGCAGGGGAGGGGAGTGGAATGCAGTGCATTGCAGTGGAGTGCAGGGGAATGCAGTGCAGTGCATTGCAGTGGAGTGCAGTGCAGTGCAGTGCAGTGCAATGCAGTGCAGTGCAGTGTAGTGTAGTGTAGTGTAGTGTAGTGTAGTGTAGTGTAGTGTAGTGTAGTGTAGTGTAGTGTAGTGTAGTGTAGTGTAGTGGGAACTTATTTACTAGACTGTAGACAGTCCCTCTGGCATAATGTTTGTTTTTCTTCCAACTAAAATGATTTAATGTAATGCGTTTCCGAAATGCCGAACACCCTCGCTTGAAATGCATTCGGCATTTCGCAAACGCATTGCGGCATTTGATTAAATCATTTTAGTTGAAAAAAAAACATTAGGCCAGAAAGGACAGTCCACAATCAAGAAACATACCATCGTCATCTGTAATAGTTATCGTTGTGACATTATTGAAAATCGTAGCATTACAACAGTCCACTGCCAATGTAAGCTGGAAAACTTCTGTAGCCTCGTTGTAAACATCATCGGCTATATTAATCACAACATGGACTAAGGTTTCCCACGGAAGAAATAATACTAAACCCTGGTAGTCTGTATAGTCATCTGGCGAGCCAGCGGTTATTGAGTGTGTACTCAATGTCACCTCAATAGTATTTTTTAAGTTCCCAGAACGTTCGAGAGTAACAACCAATTTCCCGTCTCCTTCATTAACAAGATGAGCAGTACGGTTGAAGCTTATGATGGCTGGTCCTACCAACAAATCGTAATGTGCGTGTTAGAACAGTTTGATCGTCATTCAGTTTGCAGATAAATATTTATATTTTGTTTACCACCGTGTCTTCTTTTACACAATTGAGTCCTGAAATATGTGACACGTTATCATTCCATAACAGAATTTTCTTAGGCATTTATCGTTTCCGAAAAATTGATTTTATATCCCCATCTCACACCGCGGTCTGTAAAACACAATCACCGAAATAAAACCAACCCGTAGAGGACCCGGTCATCTGTTGTACAACTCGGATCTTTTCGTATACATAATAAACAAAACGTCTTCCGTTGAAAGTAACTAGACATGGGTGTATATTTGTACAAACAGACCAACACATGAAATACACACCCACGCCGCAAAGTCACACTATTCTGTCACGGTCCTCGTTGTATATACTAATGAAAACTTGTTAGAATTCTGAGGGGTAGAACTACTGTGAAAATATTGTTACCACCCAGCTACATTTTTATTGTAACCTTTACCTAGTATTTAGCATTTTTCACGCTGATGTTGCAGCACATTGTTTTTTTTTTTTTTGCCTTTCTCCTTATCTGGAGAATATCTGGAATTGTTTTTTATAAGTATATTGTTTTCTGTAACCTTTCTGAGCAGATTATTATTTTTTGTACTACCAGCGCTACTCTTCTCCCCCGACATGGTATTTGTCAGCTTCTTACCGTCGTCATCTTTGATTGTTACAGTAGCGACGTCGTTCAATATCAAGACACCGGAAGTGGCGTACGTTATCGCAATCCGGAATAATTCCGTTTCTTCGAACACTGCATCGTCTGCAATATCAATCTTGACATAAACTGATGCGTCTTCCGGGAAGAATGTTAAAGTTTTCTGCATATGTGAAAAATCACTTGGCTCTGTAGCTGTTACGGAAATCGTGGACAAACTGACATCTATGGTTTCAAAAGTGCCAGCACGTTCTAAAATAATGTTCACTGACTTGTCGGCTTCCGTGACTTCATATTCGACAGGATTGAAACTTATAGTCGCTTGTTCTGTGAATTAATATCCCACAGACATTATAATTACATATATGTGCTAGATAATATAATTGATCTGATAGCAGCACTATTGAATTGTTACCAGAAATGTTTGTTGAACGTCGATACAGGTGGGGATTCTATTAATGACATTTCACTCTTGAAGCGTTTTGGGGTGATAGGTAACAAAACAAAAAAAAAATCTGGTTACGCACGCGGCGGCCAAATCTTGGCACATCAGTCCTATTTATGTACATTTTGAATTAAATAAAGTATGCCCTCTATGGCGAACTAAATAAAAGCATTCCCTCTATGACAACTCAATGGAACTCCGGAAGTCAGCGGCGTTTCGCATGTGCGCACACGCCAGATATGGGCTTCTGCGTAAAACTTGCACGAGTAATATTGTAGTCGTGACTGTATTATTCGTCAGGACTCTTTTACTATCAGCAGACTATCATATTTGTATTTGACGCCATGGCAAATGCAGGCGTCTTGCTTGAACCCCGGTCTCAATACTTCCGAGAAAGTGGTCTATGGCAACTCAATATACTAGTAAGTATTCCCTTTGTGGATAACTCAATAAAAGTATGCCCTCTATGGCAACCCAATAAAAGTATGCCCTCTATGGCAACTCCATGAAAGTATGCCCTCTATGGCAACTCAAAAAAATGTGCTATCTACGGCAAACTTAATAAATCTATTCCCTTTATTGTAAAAGATAATATACTCTAATTAAAAACAATTGCTAAATGTATTATAATTTACAGTTATCAATTAAAAATAAAAACGACACTAATTTTCGTATCATTTGGATGAGGTGACCAGAAACCTTACAATTCCGGATTGTAGTTTGAGACCGGATAACCACACACACACTAAAGAATTTATCTCTTTTTCCTTCTCAGTAATGGAATAGAATGTTGACTTACCGGGTATTGATGACGGTGTGATACTCTGGTTTGGATTCAGTGTTGTAGTATGGGTATTGGTGTCACCTGAAAACAGTATTACGACAGCAATTAAAGCGGGGGAGTCGTCACCTACGCATGCGCCAGACCGCCATAGCGTGTCATTGTTTACAAACAAGCGTCTACCCATAAGCCTTTGTGTTTTTAGCGTGTGTTGTTATCGTCTGTTGGGACTCAATTCCCGCGCGTGCGCAGGTGACGACCCTCTTGCTTTAAATGTATATACTGATGATACTCATTTTCCCATATGGCCGTGTATTGCTGGTGGCCAATTTAAGAACACCGGGGGAATGTATGTGTAACAATGTTGTTTTCTTCTTCGGTTGGCAGGGGATAGCTCAAAATTAGAGACAATCTTGTACAAAGAGAATCCCCAAATATTTACTTATTATTCAAACCAATACTTACCATCGTCGTCAAGAATTGTAATCGTTGCAACATCATTGGTTAACGTGGCACCGAGGGTGACAAACGCTATCTTCACCAAAAATATGTCAGTGGATTCTTGGATGACGTCATCGATTATATTGATTGCTATAGACACCGACGTGTCTCTTTCAAAGAACGTCAAATGGTGTCGCGTATCTTCGTAGTCGTCCGAGCCAGACGCGGTTAAAGCTATCGTGTCTATGGTTACATCGACAATGTCTAGTAAGTTCACTGATCGTTGTAAAGTCACTTCGACTGTGCCGGCGTCTTCAGTCACTGTATAATCAGTTGGATTGAATCCGACAGCTGGATACTCTGCAATATTATATATTATAATATAAATAGGTCAAATATGTAATATGTGTGAAGAAGTTTACTGGTGTTGTGTATGCTAATTTTTGTATTCTGGTGATGCGAAATAAACTTTGGTGAATGAATAGCATTGTCAAATATTAGTTAATTATAACAGTAAAAATTAAATTTACCATCGTTGTCAATAATCGTTACTATAGCAACATCATCGATCAATATTACACCAGTGGTAGCAGACGCAATTTTGACCTGGAATGTTTCCGAGTCCTCGACTTCCCTATCTTCGACAATGTCTATCGGAATCGACGTCGATGTAACTCCCTGTGCTAGGAGGAGCACTGCTGTCTTAGTGATAACATAATCACTGTTTTCTGAAGCTGTCATGGGATTCGTATCGACTGTTAATTCGACATCATCAGCTAAATTTCCAGAACGCTCTAAGATAAGTCTAACCGTGGAATCGCCTTCACGTACTTCGTATTTAGTCGGGTTGAACGATACGACAGTCGGTCCTATAAATAACGTATTCGAATGATAAGTGTCAATATTGCCTACAATACTATTGTAACTGTGCATGTACGTTGGATTGGTTATACGTACTAGTAATTTAATGCACATGCGCATTTGTATAGCCGATCATTATATATCCAAGTATCAATTCTAGTGTGCACTCTGCAGAAATAATGTGTTTATTTATTTAGTCTAGTCATATCCACATGCAAATAAACCCAAAAATATTGCTCGTATTGCCTTTAAAGATGTTGTATATTTACATAATATGCTAATTGTACACAAATTCAACCAATTCAAATAGAAATGATTGGTGACTGATATATGCATTGGAGACAATGTAGGATAAGATAAACTTGATTCTTTGAATTGGGTAGCACCCCAGCCCCAAACAAAAAGAATTATTATATATATATATATATATATATATATATATATATATATATATATATATATTATTTTTTATCAAACAGCGACCATTTGACGAAATGGCGAGCCGAATTGTGTAATAATTGCTGGCAATGTACAAACTTCAAAGTGCGTCTCGGTAATTTCTTCGACACATTTCGTCTTTGTTGTCTTCTAGGAATACACCACAAATGTTAAAAATTTAAATACAATTCTACAACGATATAAGGAGATGAAAACTTGTTCTCCTTTTATAACAGTTACTGTCACTGTTGTTTTGTTTCGGACACCAAAAACAGCAACATTGCCAGCTAAGTTGATGATATGTTTTCTACTGGACACGTTGGAAACCAAGCTACTACTATATTTTTTTTAAACTCATAGTTGCTGTCGACATAGGAAGTAAAGTAAGCAAATAACACCGAATAAACGGCAAGGTAAAGACTATGTCTAATTATAGTAAATACGTACTGCGTGCGTGACTCGAACCGGCGCTCGCGTACGGCACCTAATCGCCTAGCTTCACGCCACTACACGTCTTCCCCTCGGCCACCGGGCATCCCCAAAAAAGGATGCTTAATAACCGAGCTTATTACGTGCAGAGAACGT